ATAAAATAAAATCAAGAAACTGCATTTTGCAGTCATAATTCACTTAAGGAAAAAATATTTGTCCAAATAAAGAAATGAAAAGGCATACACAAGTGGGAAATCTAGCTTAAAGGACAACATAGATTGTTATATTGTCTAAACAAACAACAAATAATATCAAACTCATTTCAATTAAACAAATAATATTCTTCTCTCAAAAAAAAATTCTTGGTCTTCTATAATTGCTTTAATATTTTTCCATTTTCATTGTCCTTAGATTAAAATGAAATGGAAAAAAAAAACCCTAAAACAGTTAAATATATTTCACTATGTTATTATATAATGGTAATGTTGTAATTCAATTAGGAAAACACATATGCTATGTCACCCAAAAAAAAAACCAAAGGTGATAAAATAGGATATTAACAAGAAATCATTTTTAACCTAAATATTAAAAATCATTTGAGTCCCTGCGACCCCACAAAAATTTAAAATTATTTAGCAATTTAGCAATGTACTACAGTTATGTGCGTCCAAGACATAATCTGATCAGAAAAAAACAATTCAGAGCCCAATTTTAAAAAATATACTGACCATGTCTCTGATGACGTACCTAAGCATCAGATTGCAATTGCTTTTGCAACTTTGTATGCAATTAAACCATGCTCAGAAAACCAGAATCAAAAGAGGAAGGACTGGTGCATAGCAAAGAAAAGGAGAGTATGTTTTGCAATTTGAAAGAATAGGACAAAAAAAGAATCCAAGGACAGTGATCAATATGGATGCTTGGGGAGAATCATTTAGACGATCAAGATAATTGGTGTACAAAATCTAATAATGAGATCGTACCCAAAGAAACTAGATACAATCAAAAATTCAGAGTTGATGAAAACTTTCAAAAATAAAATAGAAGCTCGGTGAAAAAACAGTAGCATAAGATTTTTTTGCTTTTTATGATAGGAAGAGCAACAATGCAATACCAAGGACAAGATGCCCTCTAAAGGAAAAAGGCAAAAACCAAAACTGCCTACACAAATCACATAAAGATACAACTAAGACAGCAACAAAAAAAACCATTTAGAAACAACAGCATTCCAATTTGAAACATAACAGAAAATGAGCTCTCCCTGAACACTGAAGACACCAAAACCCAAATTAAAGCGCAAAAGCTCTCCCACAAATAATCAATCCTCATCTCGCACAAGGACAAGGAAAGAAAATGTAATTGAACATGTAAAGTCTTAACAACCAGAAAACTATGGAGCCCGTTAAAGAACCACACAAAAAACAAAAAACAAAAAAACAAACAGAAAGGGGCATCACCTCAAAATCATAAGAGGTAGATATAACAGAGAAAAACATAACAAATAAAAAAGCTGCATGAGCTTGATGTCCAATTCCCAAGACATCGTAGGTTTGTGAAAGGGGCAAAGCACTTTGAACCTAGAAGATATAGCATAATCACCTGCATGCAAATATATTTTTACATAACCTTATTTAGCTTATTTAGTATATGTTATCAAAAAGTTCAAGACTTACAGAGAAAAGCAACTAATTATGTTCCTGCCTTTTGTACTTCCATTCAGTTGAAATAGGGGTCAAAATATCTAATAGAAACTGGCCCGGCCTTCAAGCAAATATTTTGAAATTAACATTGACATGGGTACTGAAGATTGATGAACACAGACATCTTAGTCAAACCACATTCTACAATCTTAAATATACATTTAACTCTGACAGTGTTACCTTACATTCGCCAACAAGGAAGTCCAACACGCAAAATAATATGTCAATGAGTAAGCATCTATCTTCTTGAAACAAAAATAAAGATGAACAGATCCGATGAGCAAACTGCATGAAGAAGAGAAAAGACTGATCAGATAAAAGCATGAACTTTTCTATAAAACCATAACTGAAAAATCAAACATAGGCTACCTTGAAAATTTGATCTTTCATTGATGACTTGGCATACTCAGTCATGGTTACAAGGCAGAACATTTTCACAAGATCTCCCTCAAACAATGATAGCTCCCCGACTAAAAATTGAGTACATTTACTCAGAGAGGACACAAGCATCCTGTGCAACTTCTCATATGTGTTTGCGTCTAATACCCTAAAAAATTTGATACCACGTATACCAATCAGTTAACTACTTATCATAGCCTTAAAGTCATAAATAATTTTATTAAAGCAAATTTTATGTTCTTGGTGGTTCTGAACAAGTGCTTCAAATTCTAAAAAAGTAACCAGCAAGTTAGCATTTTGGCAGTGAAACTGTGCCGGCAAACCTAGAGAACTGTAGTAATAATTCAAATGACCACAAATGATTAAGTAGCTATAATTCGGAGATGCCCATTTCCCTTATTTTTCCAGGAACCAAACACATTATTCTCCGAAAATTATATCAAATTCACTCACCTGAACCACGGCATGACCTCCTCAACCAAACAAAGCACCCTCCTATACACCTCACTATCCTTACTTTGATTCATGCCCGCACATCTCACAAGCGTCACCACAATTCCTCCTACCAAAGACCCCAAATCTTTATCACCGCTCCCCTTCTCCACGTCTGGCACAAATCTTCGGTCTGATTTGACCCGTGTGTTTGATCCAAATTCAATCGCCTTAAGGCTCTCCAAAACCCTAAACCCCTCGTTCTCTGCATCCTTGTACCGCCCACATGCCTCGAGGCATGTCACCATCCGAACCCTCTGGAGGTTAAACGAGTAGGGCGTACCGGACAACACAGAGGACAGGGAGTCCAGGCAATCGAGGCAAAGCCTGTAAATATCGAAGAGTTCGAGGGTAAATTCGTCATCTAACTTGGAGAAACCGGCGAGGCGTTTGGGGAGAAGGGATAGCGTGCGGTTGAGGAAGGGGAGGAACTTCTTAGCAAGCGAGCGGAGAAGGGTTTGCTGGTCTTGGGATTTGGTTGCTTTTTTGGTTTTCTTGGGATTCTGGAGTTGGGTAAATGGCTGAAGGTAGTCGGAGACGAGGGAATGAAGGCCGCTTGAGCAGGAGGTTTCAAGCTTCGAAATGATGGAGGTCTCGTCCATGGCGGTGACGAGAGTTTAGAGAGAGATGGATTTGGCAATTTATATTTTTTTTTAATAGGTCGAAGGGGTTTGGCGTTTAGGAATGAAATGTCTGGGTTTTCTGTTTTGGTCTCAAGGGCGCGAAGAGAGCCCCGCCTCGAGCTTATTTCAAAAAAAAGAAAAATAAATTAAAAGCCAAAAAACCAAAAGGGAAAATATATATTCCCACTTGACTCCGTAACTCCGTTGGCTTGGGACGTTCATTTTTATGTTCTTATTTTACTTTTTTCAATCTTAAAATTTTGAGTTTTATAACTTTTAAAATATCGATGGTATCGGAAATATCAATATTTCAAAAATAAGGAAATTTTGATAGAAATATCGGAATATTATTAATATCGATAAAAACTGAATAAAAACCACTGAAATTGTAAGAAAAACTTGAAAATTTTTATTGAAACTTTGGATGATGTTTATTTAGTCAATTATCTATTAGTTTATCACAAAAATTTGGAACGAAATGCATTGTATAATGGGTTTAACTGATTTAAGTTGATTATATAGCGAGCTGACAAAAACTGTGAATATAGAAAAATATGTAGTAATTAATGAAATAATATTAAAGACACTGTAATCATTTATATATAATAATTTACTACAATATTTTACACTTTATATATTTTATGGTAAAATACATGAGTAACTTAGTACCACATAGAGTTCCCATTTGCGTATTATCAAAAAAACATAAACAACATGGTGGTTAAGACGTTGGAGGAGTGAAATGGTAGGGGTATCGAATCTCCTTTAAGTGTGTGCTTTGTGTTTTTTTTTCATGCTTTACATTACATTGATATTTTTGATATTACAGTGGTATTATAGTGATATTTTGACAAAATATTGCTGAATTGTAAGCGAAATTATCGACATCGATATTTTTTTATATTATCGATATTTTTTTTATATTATCGATATTTATACAATATGTGTATGGATACGTTCCAAAATATCCGTGATTCCAAAAAACAATAATATTCTAAATATTTCATTGATATTATCGATATTTTGTACTATGACTAGTAGAGGTAGAGATTGAGAAAGGAAGAGAGAGGAGGAGAATGACTCCCCGTCACAATCGTGCTTGAAGAGAAAAGAGAAAGGAGGGTAGGAGACTGTTTTAACATTTTCATTGACCAAGGTTAATATGGGAAATTTGAACGTTTCAGTAAGGCATTTTGCCTTGAGATATAGATATAGCTTTTATAAGAGTTGTCTGTTATCACAAGTAGTCTATAAACTTTTTAAAAGTTCTCATTTTAGTCCTTCAACTTTCAAATCAATCAATGTAGTCCATCATCTCACTACACATCAATTTAGTCCTTATTGTCGCATTTCGACAAAAGTTCCATTAAAATTAGTCAAGTTTCATCACACGACCAACTTTATAATGGAATTTTCAATATGTATAGCTCAATTAAGTCCTAAAACTCACATTTTGCTAAACAAGGTTATTTGCTCTCTATTTTGGTTCCATCAATGAGAGTATATAACCTTATTGAGCTAAAAACGTAAGATGCACTTTGAAGTATAGGTAGGTAGGTAGGTTGTATTTTGATGAAAATACACATTTAAACATCAACATGAAACTGAGTAGAACCAAACTAATTGCATTTTGCTCGGTTCGGTCCATTTTTCATTTTTCTATTGTAAAAACTGAACCCAATCGCGGCAGTATGAGTGGTTTTTCACCCACCCATCTCTGCCTTTCCTGGGAAAAAATAAAAAATAAAGACAAATCTTTAGGTATCATGCAAATATTTAGGACAAATTTCTCATTGTTCGCATCATCAATAAATAAAACCATATTTATTTTCACGATGTGATAACAGCAAGTGGTTCATATTTAAAGGGTTCATTATTGATGCAATTTGCAAATGCCGCCGCTGCTAGCTGCAATTTTCTGTTAAAGGCAAACCTCAAATGATGTTAAAAATGTTGAAGAATACACTAGGGACATCATTCAGTTTACAAGAATTGCAAATTAGAGGTCATGGCATTCCTAACTCTTGATCGATAGTGTTTTATGGGAGGGGATCCGGAGGGTGCATTAATTTGCTGATAAATTACAGGTCCATGGAGGGCTGATCATGCATGGGCTGGCAGTGTCTTGCCTCCTAGAAATGACTTAAACAGCGCAAGTGATCTCTTTGGTTGTGTAGATGGAGCTGTGTGTGAAGCTCCTCTTATGATGGCGAATGATAGGATATCACCATAAACTTGTGTCCACCCACCAACCTGCGAAGAAAAAGAAAAAAAAAAACAGTTCAAATATAAACACACAGTTTCAAGTATATACTTTTGACCTGCCTAACCGGATCTAGCCTATAGTAAACGGCGCGGACATTGACTTGCAGACCAATAGTCTCAAGTTCGAACCTTTATAGCATCTTGGCAGTGTGTGACAAAACCCTCCCTTCCCCTTTCTAACTATGACAACAACAAAAAAGTATGCTTGTGACCTAAAAAGTTGAGAGGGGAAAAAAACAGAGAGAGTTTATGTATGATAAGTACTCTATCGGTGAAGCTATGTGCGCCCCAAATTATAAATATTTTTTTCTCAATTAATTTAATTGGGTTTTGACCACAAGTTAGAGGAGAGTCTTGGTTGAAAATAAAAAATAGAAACTCAATGAACACATGTCTGCAAATTCAACATTATCTTTTTCCTTTCTGTTAATTTATGGTTTAGTTAGTATACGTGAGTAAGCAGGCAGGCAGGCTCGTAGTGCGTGTGAATTACGTTATTTGGGTGTTAATTAATGTGGTATATATTATTATGTTATATGAATGTGAAGCATGGTGACCTGTTTTCCCTCAAACCAAGCTCTGTAAGGCACAGTTGACTTGAGACCCAGCTGCGTCGCCAATCCATTAATCAAACCTCGACTTCCAAAAAATGGAACCACTGAATCTTGATCTCCACTGCAACAATTCAATTAAATCATTAGTAACACAACACAAATTTGTAATACTGCACGGACCAATTCTTTTCTCAACTCTCTCAAATATAGAATCGGCTCTATATGATTTCGTAATCTCACAAAACTTAGCTCGCATCATACAAGAAAGTCGGAAAAAGAGTTGGTGTTTCAAGTATTATTTTGAGCTTCGGACAACTCATCAAATTACCTATAAACCATTACACGAACGCCAGATTTGACAAGTGAGCCGACAATATGAATGGTCGAAATTTCTATATCTCGCATATCATATTGCAGAACCCTGCAGTAAAGTAATTAAGCTTAAGATAGTCAAACAAAAATACCCCCACCCAAGATTATTCCCAATCTCAAGGAGAAGTTAATAAAAAAACACTTAGGTCATCAAGATTTACTTTTCTAAAAGAAAAATAACAAAGGGTTTAAATTTTACTGGCTGCACAAACTCCAACTAGAGACTCCTACAAGCTTAGCATGAAGGGCCTTTTGTACATCTTTTCTGTTTAAATAAGTCACTGTTTCTTCCTCTACACAGGCATCTATCTTGTCTGTAAGTTGCTGCAAGCGAGATGCAAATTAGCTAGTGGTATCTTTAAACAAGAAAAAGGGAGAGTTTAAAAATGAAGCTACATTTTTCATGCAGAGTTGCACAGACATATACAACAGATACTAACTGGTTAGCGCTTGACCGCTTCTGTTTACCTGATTATAATTGCCGGCTTCTGCACTTGAACGATGAAATGCTGAAGTTCGAAAGTTTGACCTTAACGGGTTCAGAAGTTCCAATTTTGTTGGAAAGGGGGGCGACAAACAAATGTCGCCGGTAACGTAGTATTTGTCGACATAGTTGCTAAGTTCTTGTGAAACTTGAGTGGCTACATCAGAACAAGCATCAGAGGGAGAGCCTGCTATGGTCTCTCTCAATAACTGAGAACTGTTGCAGACTGAAGTGAGAAGTCCATAAGCAGCATCAGAAATCAGCCCATGAGACCAGTAAAACAAATCCTCCGCATTGACATCAGTACTGAATTCCAGTAGAGGGTTCCCTATCTGTTATATCATCATCATGAGAGCTCATTAACAAATCAAACCCTAAACGGATGTATTTAAATGTCATATTTTTCATGTTCTTACTCACAGCTATCCCCTTGAGGTTGAAATTCACACCAGACTGAATTATTAGCTGTGCAAGTTGTGGCACATAGTGACCTATTTATAAGAAACAAAAACAGACAACTAATCAGCTCTTAAGTCTTAACAAATCTTCTATCTCACTCCGTCCCCGAAACAAATCCTGTCAACTAATCAGCTCTTAGTTTTTAAAATTCTCAAAGTCTTGAAAAGATAGCTAAAAGTATTTAGTACATCTATCTATGTTCTTTCATCAAATCAAAACAAACCTGCATAGCTTTCTCCTACAAGAAACAAATCTCTGTGGTTGTATTCTGGAAATTTGTCAAACCAGCGCTGAAGAAATGTTAAACTGTCTCGTGCTGAACAAACAGAACAAACTCACCGTCACTTAGAGAGTTAGCAGATCTAAAGAAGAAGCAGAAGAAGAAACTAAGTGAAATTCTTTTACACATTAGTTTTGATAATAAGAAAATGGGGACAAAATCGAACCTGTTATGTTGTCATTCACATTTTCGTAAAATGACTTATCAGCAGCAAATGAGAAACCAACACCGGCTGGTGACTCTAGGTACAACATGTTTGCTTCTGTGAAACAAAGACAAACTCAAGAAATCAACAATGAGCAACTAAGATTTACGTTGAACTAGAATTTTTATAATTTTTATTGAAGGGTACCTGTGTTCCAACTGTATGGATTCTTTATTAGAGTAGCCCCTCCACTTGGTTTAAAAGGACCGTGTTCAACGAAAGCGCCCTCTCCAACCGACGAACAACCAGGCCCTACAAAGGAGGAAGATGATCAAGTTAGAAACACACTCAAGACCCACAAGAACAATGGGGTTTGTATCTTTATTTTAGCTGCATACATTAAAAAAGAGATTAAAATCACCTCCATTGAACCAGACAACAAGCGGTTTCGAAGCAGGGCGAGACTCTGCTTCAACAAAATAGTAAAACAGAGATCTCTGTGGGTGGTCGTCTACATCAATGTAGCCTGCAAATTGTTGGAAGCTGACACGTGGCTGCCCAGGCAAACTCACAATTTTATTAGCCATGGGAAGGGCCTCCACTGCACCCATGAGAACAAGCATGGAAGTTAAAAAGCCTATGCACATCCATGGCTGAGATGCCATGGTTGAGAGAAAGAGATGATGAGGTTTATGGTATCTGAGAGAGAGAATTAACAGAGCTTAATTGTGGGTCACTATATTTAAGGACAAGAGGCTGCTACTTTTGACTTTGACATATAAAAAATACATTCTTTACTTTTACTTTTATTTCTACAACACGTGATGTACGGGTAAACAAAAAGAAAAATAGAATCGTATAAGCAGGGACACACTTGAAACTACCATGGTGCATTTGAATTACTTTTATTTCTACAACACATGGTGCATTTGAATTTAAAAAAAATTTCAAAGGCATTAGTGAAATTCTGAATCTAGTGTCTCCTTTTAGTCCTTAAAACTCCTTCAACTTTAATTTCGTGTTTAGTTAGTGAGAAATCTTAATATTGTATTGAATTAAAGGGTAATAATTACATTCTCATCTTGATCCATACCTCAGTTGAACTTGACACCCAATTAACTTTTTTTGTTTTTGTTTTGTTTTGAGGAAGACACCAAATTAGCTTTATGCGTACGTATTAAATCAAATTCGAAGGAGCTTTGGATGCTTTCCTCATAAAAAGCTTGCTTCTAAAAAGTTCAGCACTTTTCATCCTTCTTTATCTTTTAACACTTTATTCCTGTCATATGTTAAAACTAAAATTTGTGCTGAGCAAATTTGACCTAGGGTTGTCATCACCACTTGACCAAGGTATTGTACTCGCACCACTTACACCAAGTCATCACCAGTTGACTAAGACAGTGAGCCTGCCGCACTTACGCCCAAGTTCGAATATAGATTAGGTTAATTTAGAGTAAATATTTTTAAAAATAAGTATACAATGCCGGGTAACACTACCATTTATTTTAGGGTCGAGTGTCGCCAAGTTAAACTCTTCATAAATAGCCAATTTCGCAGCAACCATCCAGTTTTTCAAATTTATCCAATTTTCAGTTAAAATGTCATGTGATTGGCACATGAGTAATATTTTTTTCAATTTGAAAACACAGAAACTGAGCAAGGGACATCCATTCAAGTGTGTCCATTGAGAACATCTATGAACAAAAATGCTTATTAGCATAGAATTCCGGATCAGATTCACAAGATACACGAAGCAGACCTAGTTTCTTCCTCCCTTTAATGGCATCCTCGACTGCCAGCGCTCCCTCATCAAAAGATAAAAAATGCAAAAGCAGAGGGTGAAAACTCACAATGACATTTCATTGCCCTGTCCTTCACAGCCATTACAAATCAAAAGATGTGTGGTCGAACACATAAACATGTTAGCTGAGAAGGGGTAATGGTGCCAGCACATTTTCATGACAATGGGCAGCCACATCCAACCATAGCAGTTATTTAGATTTCTTTTGTTCAGAAACTCTGGCTCCCATGATCTTACAAACAGGCTCATCTTTTGACTGAAGAAGCTTTAGAGCCGGATGAACCTTGAGATCTCCCATTAATATCTTTTGGCCGACATCCAACTCACTCAGATCCACATCAATATATGGAGGAATCACATCTGCAGGGCAAAGGAACTTTACAGTCCTCTTGATTGTATTTAAATAAGCACCTGCCAAGTTGTTAAAGGTCACACTTAAATGAATCAGATCATTAAAATTATTCTAACAAAAAAGTAAACTAATCCATAGTAACCAACACGACTTATGAGAATATGAGTAATGATTTGAAACAAAGACTATGAAGTAACTGCCCTGCACAAGACGCTAATATCAACCAAATCTATGGAAAAGAGTTTACAATATATAATATAATAGGATATGAAAAGTAAGCCGTGATCAAATGAAGTCTCTATATATTGTTTCCTGGAGGCAAAGCTAGGAACCAGGAAACTAAAGAACAATCAGTCTAGGCTAAGCCTTGCCAGCCCTACGTCCCTACCTATCCCCATTTTGGTTACCGCATCAGCAACAACATTTCTTTCTCTGTGAACATGAGCAACAAAACGGTGCAAGTGCCTATGGATCAACCCTCTGCACTCATCAGCCAGACCCCATAAAGGGAGGCAACAATGGCGGAATCCACCTCAACCATGATATGAGCAATTTGAGTTTCCCAAGCTATGGAGCAAGGCACATATTTCGGTTTGTAAATATCCTGACCCCAGATTAGCATAGAAACCTATGACCCAGTCACTTTTCCAATCTCTAATGAGACCCCCAGCCCCTAAAGTTTGATTAGAAATTTGACTTGTTTCCCAAACAATAGAAACTCTTCACAATCAACAAAACCTTGTTTGATTTCCTGATAATAGCTGGAATTCTCAACCTCAGTTGCTAATGAGTTCAAATTAATAACATACTTCATAGGAAAGTTTCATATTCTCAATCACCTATGTCATGAATTCCACTTTGAAACAGAAACTGCCAATCGTTTTATAATCAAATGTTAGAAACAATGATTTCCCACAAAAGTTCTAGAACAATTTAAAATTTCAGACGGCTCGACCTTCATGGAAGGTTCATAATGATCATGAAGGCAGTATTCTGACGCTAAGTTGTGATCAAAGCGCACAAGCACCTCTGTTTTTGTTGTTCTATATACGACTATAGAAAAACAAAACCAGAAACAAATTTTGACCAAGTATCCTACTTTGCTAGCTACAAACAGTTTATACACACAAAGGACAGTTATAATTATATATATATATATATATATATATATAAGTGCTGTAAAGATGAAGATGACCGAAACGAAATCTCATACACAAGAAGAAAATAGAAGCAGAAATTGCAAATGGAAAATTGGAACAAGGAAATGAAATCTGATAAATAGAAGAGACAAAAGGAAAGGGGATTGATTTGTTTTACCTTTCTTCAATCCAGGAGAGACATCATCTCCTCGAAATACAAGAGGAATATCGACTTTCAACAAAGCATGAGAAGGAGCCCTTATGAAGGTCACATTAAGCGGTGCGTCCGTGGCCGAGTGCAAATGAATCTAACAAACAAAACAAAACCCCAACATCAAATAAACCCTAAAACCCAAAACAAAAATCAAATCTCTTGAAGTGAAGTTGTGCAGACCATACATACCATGCGAGGCAAAACGCGGACCCTCTCAACGACGTCGTCGTTTTCAGAGTCGAAATCGGAGCGAACCTCGAGGTCGAAGAGTCTGGAGAGGAAGAAGGAGCGGCCAAGATGACCGACAAGTTTTCGGATTTGGTTGGTCCGTACAGAGATGAGGCGCTTGCTGCCGCCGTGCTGGCCGTCCTCTTGCTCGAAGACAATGCTGGGGACGCGGCCGGCCTTGCGCTCTTTGGCGGAGATGCTCTTACCGGAGGCGGCACGTGGAACGGCAAAGATTGTCTCGGCGTATTTCGGGTCGGGTCTCGGGAAGTCCGGTTCGAGTTCCGGGTCCGGGGGGAGCAGAGCGACTGTGGCGGATTGGGCGTAGCGTCGGATTTGGAGCTGGAGGGCGGCGACGCGCTGCCGGTGGAGGAGGAACATTTTGGTGAACCCGAGTTTGAGTGTGGGGAGAGTTGGGGACGTTCAAGAGAAGAGTGTTTTTCCAGTTTTGCCCTTAATAGCTGAAAACTTCATTTTTTATTTATTTGCAACAGAAACATCAATGGTTCAAGTTTACGATTACTAGCAAGCAACCAAGATTTTCTGAAAATAATTGCTTATCTAGAAAATATCATTCATGAACAAGGGAAATTGTAAAATGGTTACGAGCGACTATACTCGGGTATATTTTATTTTTTATTTTATAAAATAAATCGTGTAGTCGCGCGGCTATACTATTTATTAAAAGCGTATAGTCGGACGACTATATTTCATTTTTGTTTAGGTTCTTTTCAAAGCATTTTATCACAAAACGTCCTTGATGTTTGTAAAACTATCAGATTGCATTCTTAAAGTCTTTTTGTATTATTCATGGTCCCTAATGTTAATATAGGTGCTCTTAAATAGTTTATCTGTCAAAAAAACTGTTAAATTCAAAGATATAATCGTCAAATCAATCTAAAATTATAAAATATATATATATATATATATATATTAACAGAATCACATCACTGATAATTCAAATAGAGCACAAATTCCAAAAAAATACTTCCAAATTGAATAGATAATAACATAATGATAAAAAGAAATAAAAATAAAGCCTTTTTCTTAATCTACAAATTGCTTCTCATCTTCTCAAAAAATGCTTTGTCTACTTCTCAGATGAGTTGGGTCCCCTCTTCTTGCCGAAGCCAACCACGGCGGTGACGAATCGGCTGTTGGATTGCATGCGCTTGTGGGCGCGTTCACGGGGCTTCTTCTTCTATCTTGCTTAGCCACTTTGGGGGTTTGGCCTCTCACCTTACCAGCACGAGCCAAAGGTCCATGAACCTTTCCCATGGCTTCTTACTAAGAGCTTGAAAGAGCTTTGAGGTGGTGTTTGTATTTTGCAGACGAGATCACAAAAAGGAGAGCTAGAAACCTGTAACCATAACCAGGATCGGGGAAATACAAAAAATCAGGAAATTTGGAACATCCGTTGCATGTTACGATGATAGTCCTATTTTGGCATTCATGTCCAATCCGCATTTTGGTATGTGGAATTTTTATCACACGTGACAAAATGTGATTAATTGGGGATGGCAAAACAATGTTATTCATGTGATATATAAGTTTTTCTCAATCTTCTTTCTCTAGTAGCAATCTTCTTTATCAGAATCGTTGAATTTATCTTTTTTGTCAAACATTATCCATGCATATTAGTTGATGAATTCTTTTTGCACATTTTAGATGAATAAATAGTTTTTTATGACAATTTTTTGGAATGACAATTGAATGAGGACTTATACTATAAAATATTCCTTCTTAATTTTTTGGAATGACAATAATAACTTGTAAATATATGTATCGAACCCAACCAAACCGAAAGTTCTGTACGATTGACATGTTGGGCTCTTTCCCGAACCGAACGTATGGCCAGAAAATGCAGTTTACTAAGACTCTTCAATGGCATTTCAACTAGACCAATCATTGAATCCCGTGACTATGTCACTTTGTGTAGTTCATTGTTTGAATCTTCACACTGGTTCCTTGTTTGAATCCTTACTTTCCGAAGGTTTCAAGAAAAATATCTCATTTACTTACTTGCATGAGAAAA